ACATACTCTTCCGCCAGTCTGGAAAATGTGTTCAATTAGCTCTCATTCAAGCAACAATGCAGATTTCCCAGTGGGAGTGAAACTATTCGGCTCTGCCATTAAAAAATAGGGGTGTTTTCAGCAAAAAACAAATAACCCTGAAATGCACACAGCATACTGAATTTCGGAACAAATCGTGCATTACTTATAGCAGCAGAATACCACAGAAATATCAGACGAAACATGAAAACACTATTTATTGTATTTCAGCCTGAACCCTCTATATTGCAATTCAATACCACGCTGAAGTGTTTGGTAACAAGGAATTAACCCCATATGTGCATCCATTTCCCACCTTGGTATCACCCACCCCTGAAAACAAACTCTTAATACCACGCTGAAGCGTTTGGTAAAAAGGTGGTATCTTGAGGTGACGTCCTATAAACTGTGTGGCTATCACGGATATTCTTGTGAGCTGGCAATTACACGCTATAGTTTTGAATAATATTGAAAAACATTGCTTATCATTGGTTGTGTGTGATGCCATTGATATAAATAACAACGTATAGTATTGTTCATTGGTTGTTGTTGAGATGAAATAAAACATAAAATGATCTAATTTGCATACAATAGTATAATATTAGGCTGTAACTTAACAATATATTTATTTGGTACAATAATTAACAAGACACCTGTTGGTGGATTTATATAGTATGATATGTGATCGTTTATTAGTACCCATGCATGAACACATACATTAATCTTCATAAATCACAGCTTGTTTTAAGCAACTGTAGAATCAACAACAAATTATTCACAATATCACGGTCTCCAAAGACTCAAGTAATTTCTGTAAAGAGCATGACAAACATTGCTTCATATGTTTTATGAGTGTTCATATATTTTCAAGAAATATGCTAAAAGTTAGAGGTTACCCGGGGTTATCAAACCAGAACACTTTGCATATGCCAATGACACATACCAAGCTAAGATTATTTTAAAGATTTCATGCAGAATGTTAAACAAAATAAGTTATTGCTAACAGAAGGGGGAAGATAGGAAAACACTTTTTAAAAGTGTTAAATGTTTCACAAAATTGTGACACAGAGCTAGCCAAAACAAGTTCTGTGACTATGATTGCTTAGCTCTTGGTCAAGATTCAATATATTTAAACGTTTTGAGTCGTGTGTGTAATGAACTGTTGCGAGTCCATATTTATGTGTGTGGTGTCTATGTACTAATTTTGAATGAAAATAGTGATCAGAGTAACAGCGCCACCACCGATGACAGCTCCTTGTGGTGGTACACGAGGAGGCTGGGTATAGAAAACTACTAGTATGCTTGACCAATTAATCACTTTCAGTCTTAAGACAAAATTTCCTCTATGCGGGTAGTACTACACAGAAAAAGAAAAACATATGTATCCACGTTCTTTCAAATCATGGATAGAGATTTGACTATATTTTACAACATTCTGATTTTGTATTCCTTCCCCCCTCATTGCTAAGGTAGACTTTCACTGATGTGCTACCATAACTCAACATCAATGCTATGACGATGTTCTTGAATCCAAATCTCTGAACTGCAGCCATTTCCAGCCAATTTATACGATTTACCCTCTCCAGGGATTCTACCACAGCCCTCGTTTTCTTGGGTACAATACCCCCATGAGAATGCTTCCTGAAATATCATTGTCAAAAATACTATATCATGGAGTACTGATATTTTAAGAGGTTTATTGTCCAATAATATTTAGTAAATTGGTAACATTTGTAGGAGAACATATTGCTAGTATTATACTGACAAATTAAAAATTGGTCTTCGACATGTTCTCGTTGTTTTAAATTAGCTAATCTTTGCTAAAATAAAAAGATATTGAAAAAGATGCTCTTGTTGTTTGACAGGCATAAATTGGCAGAGCGGATATGTTTATTGTGCGATCAGTGAGAAATTCATAATATATTTATTGTGTTTTTTTCCACAAAAAAAATGAAAGTTGTATTTAACTGTGGTCAAGGTGTTGATCAAAATCTATCCCTCAAGTCCATTATCAATATATACCTGAGAAAGCTTCGTTTAAATTAGATATTTTTTATATTAAAAGACGCCAATTAAAGGACCAGATTTACTGTTAGCCGAGGTCCTTATTTACACTACATAAGTTAAAATATCAGTAATGGGCTCTATTTACATTTTACATGATGTAATACATCCTGCTGCACGTTATATACTTTAATTTTATATATTGTCTTTTTTCAGTTAAAACGAAAATAGCGCAATTACGCATTCGATTAGATTTTGTTTTACTTTAATATAATTTGAGTGGACTGGTAACTGGTACGGCTGTATACATTCGTGATACGTATAATTGACATTTTATATCTTTTTGATAATCGGCAACTTTTGTGAAACTCCACTTTGATCCAGTGGTAAATGCGTCAATATTAGATAAAGTCGTGCAGAGGGTCATAGTCCATTACAACGACGAGAACATTTCAAGTTGTTTAACCATATTCTTCATAGAAATCGTAAAATATTGCATGATTCTCAAATCTGTACATAACAAGTAACCTGTGTGGGTAATATTTTTATATTGATTTTTGTTGCATTTGCAGCAAATAGTTACCAAACAATGAGAAATCTATAGGATTGGATATACCTCTCAGCTGGCTCCACATGCATAGTTCAAGCCTGCCTAACCAGTGCTTATACCAGGATTTAGTTACAGCACCTAGACGATCTGTGGTTACAGCTTCATGTTCCAAGTAATCGCAAGAAATTGACATTACAATAGAAAATAAAAGACGAGGTAGTTTATTTAATCAGTGCTGAACTAGAGGCTGAAATTATAATTAAGTTCGTTGTCATAAAATTTGTTTATTCCAATTTCACCTGGAGTCAAGTAGAATACATTGGTGAAAAGATGTTTTGGGGGTGTAGTGTATATGGAGGGGTAGTGGTGAGTGTCATATAATTTGTTCATTTCCAACTCTCATGAAGTCTCATTGAATTTATGTCTCACTTAATTTATTTTCGCTGAAAACTTTTCAAGCATTACGTGCTGTATTGTGTCAAGTCCCAATAGAGTATGAGGGAAATGGCATTTTCACTGGAATTTATTTTAGCGGAAAAATGTTTTCAGTGAAAATGAAGTATTCCACACTATTACATATGTACTGCTGTTTAATTTATTTCTCCCCTAAAATTAAAATCGGTATTTTCACACCCTATATGCAAATGAGGTCTGAGAGCAAACAAAGTAGTCCGTTCAGGAGAAGCGTTTTTCGAAACAGCAGAAATAAACGATATTTAGAAGTATGATATTTTACCCCTGGGGTACATGAATATACTTGCAGAGTGAAATGAAATTTGACAACAGTAATGGCAATCTTAGGCAGTCACTTATTTTGACTAAAACTAATTTGCAAATGTATCTAGTGTAAGAAATGGACAACCAGTCTTGTGATTAGTTCTTGACAAATTCTGAACAGGCCACGCCGCCAGCTATGCCGTGCATTTGGGCCAACCGTTGATTATTCATAAATGTAGAGTCAGTTTGTGTAGTTTTCTTGATTTATTCTGCAAATATAGGAAAAATATAGGTAAAGCTTTGGCGAAATTTGAAAGAGCAACTAATATTTAACCTGGTATTTTTATAGAGTTTATTTTTCATTCTGTTCGTCTGTTTTTTCCATTTTAAAAAAATATGAGCTCGATGGAGCCTTCATCCCTTGTCTATTTCTGACACTAGATACCCGCAAATACCCCCCCCCCCGCTCATAGGGAGTGCGTATCGTTGATTATAGTTTCTGGGCTCCCTACACCAATCCCTGGCACCAATACTGCTTGTATTTTAAATAATGCATTATTATTAATATTAAACATACAAGAGAAATTCAACACTGGTTGACAAATTGTCATTTTGTACAGAGGTTGTTCACTGCCTTTAGTGCCCTACGTCGAGTCCTCTTAACGCATCTAATAATAAGAAAAACAGTGACCAGGGTAGATATGTATGCCCTCAACGTTAAACGTGAGTAATTGTGGGTGAATGGGCGAACTTTGTTATTGAAATCATAACCTCGTTATGAGTGTTGTGAAGAATTCATGTGTGAAGCAAAATAGCTGAGGTTGGGTCTTTATTTTTTCTTTATCACATATTTAAGAAAAGAAAAGTCACTTTTTTTTGTTTTCCCCGTGAACTGTATATTCTCTTATAAGTTTTGCGTTTTTTTTTGTTTGTTTTTTTTGAACAGGTGCATAATGCATTTTGAGCCACCCAGCCAACGCTACCGCCTCATCCGAAACTAGCTTTGTGTACAGGTCTGTGAATGGGGAGTTGCTTGTTCTCATCAGGACCTTGTCGGCACCCAGGCCATCCATGCATATCACTCCTCCAAGTAAGCTAGTCCGAAGCACGTAACTATACAAACGATGGCATGTACAACTCAACAATTCAGTATTAGATTATAAATTAAATAAAACAGTCCATATATTCTTTTATGAGGGAAAATAGAGAAATTACTACATGGTCATCGTAAATTCGCGTAAATGTACCTTATTTATACTTGCATAATGATTTGATCACAATCCTTGACCTATCTTGACCTTAGCGTCAAAGACGTATGGTCACGTGATTTAGTCAAACACTTTTCCTTATATTATTCATTTGACGAGCTGACCAGAGATGGTGAGTTGGGACATATCGTTGGAAGCTTTGTCAACGATCCGTCGCATAAACATGAAAAACTATGCTCGAAACTGAATGAAGAATACCATGGAGTAAATTTCGTACAGCATGTCGCAGCCACAAGTTATTGCCTCAAGTTGTCGGTTCCGGTGTACCTTTTAGATCGGTGGAAGACTGTGACTGTGAGTGGAAAACTATTGGTGTCGCAATTCGATGATCTCATCTGACCCGATATTTAGTCGGATGCAAATGAACAGCCTCTGGCGATGACAGTTTGAGTCGATCTTTTGGCAGGTAGGACCATTTGAAGGTGACTTCTGACTTGGCTATGATGTGGACAGTAACAATTCCTGCCAGGACACTGACGTTTGTGTTATTGTTTATGTTGTTGAGTGGGGTACTCTGCACGATTCGTCATACACGATCTTACGACTTGCTACCCGAGTACGATACATTTATACAAGGACTCCACGAAGACCGGTACAGGCTCGATTATATCGAACTCGGCAAGTTGGATGGCATAAAAAGTCGAATTCTACTGAAGTTCAACGTCAGCGACTTTTATCGCCAAGCGTCTTGGTCCAATTTGCACTCCGTGAAAACCCGCACGAGTGTGGTTAAAAGCGCGACGTTGAAACTGTTTTGCGTCAACGTGATAACATCGGCGAATGAAAACAGGGAAGACCATGTATTCAGTGACAATGTTAACATCGCAAGTATTTTAGTGCCATGGGATGTATATAACGTTACAAGCCTATGGAGGTCTACGTCCGATCGTTGGTCCCAACCGTACTTAGGAACGGTGTTCAATGACGCGACGGCGCCTTTCGAAACCGTGTACGTCGAAGTCGATTACACCACTTGTCAAAGTTCTGATAATGTCGCAACCGTTTCACTCTCAGTGACACAACTGTTCAAAGAATGGCTAGACAATCCGGAAAATAATTTTGGCGTTTTGCTCTGGGCCGACGACGACGATAATGACATCGGAGTTCTCAAGCTTGCTTCGTCGGAACATGCTTTCATTCATAAACACCCAACACTGAAGATCGTCGTCGAAGATACCATTATTAACGAAACAGGTGAGAATAATTAAAAAGTTAAATAATAAAGTGACTGTTTCATAAACAAAAATAGTACAACCCTGTGACTGTGTCATCAAATTCATATTTACATGGGACCATGGAACTGTCTCATATCATTTTCTAAAAAAAATACTAAAATTTAGATTATTAAATTTATGTAATATTTGTATACAAATGGGGCATAATCTCAGTTTTGTCAAAAAAGGGTTGCAAATGTATTTTGTATTGTATCTATAATCAAGGTTGAGATGGTTTTTACGCATAGCAATTACTGTGTTACTGAAAAAAATGTGGGTACTTAATAGGCATCAACACAAACATTCTATAATATAATAAAGTAATTTTCTGTGTCATTGAGTCAACCAATCTATGATTAGTTGTCAAGACAACAGCTGTGGTTTATGTAATAAAAGTGGTTATTAACAAAAGTATTCAGTCTATGAATGAATTAAAATATGGTCTAACAATATAATGCAGCTAAAAATATACCAAAATATCTGATTTTTTTTTTTTAATGTATTCACTGTTTCCATTTTACAACAGGGGCTTACTATAAATTAAAAAAAATTAGGAGTTGTCATGAAATACACTGAGTATCCAGACATTCAAGAAATGGAAATTACAGAAATACAATAGCAAATGTGCCACCAGATACAGTTATCTTTTACACAGATAAATGAATAAATTATATAGATAAATTATAAACATATAATAAATGAATGTTTACACCAGCATCTGCCCAAGCACACTAATAACACTATATATAAGTGTCTTTTCTTGATGATGAGAATTGATGATGACTTTTCTTTTATTGTCTGTGAGTAAAGTACAGACTTAGTTGGTATTTCCATGATAGCTTTCATTAATGCAAATATTTGTACTTGTATATAGTTGTTAGTTCTTAACAGTGTACAGCCAAGAGAGTGTAATACAATGTAATACAATGATATGCCCATATTACTTTTAAACACAAATTTTCCTGGATGCATACTCTTGTCAATTTCTGGTAGGGAGGTATAAATGTAAACGAAACAGCCATTTTATTGACTGGTCTGCCTGAAGTGCAGAGTGTTACACTAGTAATCAAGATGTGTATATTCACGATTCCCTATATGTATCACAGAGCACTAAATGTTGTGCATACCGCAGAGAAATTTAAATCAAGCCAGTCGACAAATAGTACTCTATATGAAATATGAAAAAACATAAATAATAAACTATTGATGGAACAATCTAAACTACTGTTCAATAAATGATCAATTGTGTATTTCCTGTAACATGTGGCAGTGCAGCATGGTCAGATGGTAATCCCACTATATGAATAATAAAACTACTTCTATCCTAACTGCTACAGGACAAAGCTCACTTAAATTGAAACCCAACTCTTATAGAATAGGATTTATTTACAACTCTCATTACATTTCATTATTGATGTGTTTATGTTTTTTCTGCCAATGAATGGATACTATAAATATTCAATTATGAATAAAATAATCATAAAAAAATTACAAATTTGTAAATTGGATATTTAACATTATTGTTTATGGAACATTAAAAAATGGTGCAGCTAATATAATATAATCTGCGCTATAATTGAGGTGTCGTTAATTCTTACATTTACATACAAATTATAAATATGCAAATTAGTCTAAATTATTAGTTTCATAAAACAGAGAAGTCAGTAACACTATAAGCTTTAATTTAACACCATAAAGAGCCGAGTGGATTTAATTTATAAGCTACCTAAATATGTAGCGTTGCCAGGGATACCACCCAATAAGCAAAATGTACACCTGCCAAAGATGAAAACAGGCATTCTCTGATTCATAGGTTTCATATCTATCATTTGAATAGTCATGGAAACATCCTGATAACTAGCAAATCTAACTTGCCGGCGATGAGATTTTTTAATATGCAAGTCTCATATCTATCATTTCAGATAAAAAATGTTATATATGTTTGTGAGGGGGTGGGGGTTGTTTATCATGTAACTTGAACAAGTTTACCAAATTTACCATAAGACATGTAAGAATAAAGCTGGCATGAGTTGATTTGAACAATAGTCTTAAATTTGTATTAAATCTAATTACCGGTATGTACAGTCCTTCACATTTAAGGTAGTTTTCTAGCGAAAAAAAAAATGTTTTTTTGTTAATTAGTACTGTCAAAAACCAGAGTTTACACTGGCCACACGAGCTTCATAGCTTAATTAAATATGAAATATATTCCTTTATTTTGTTTACGTTGAATAGATATACGAGTAGGATATTAATTTATTCATTAACTTTTGGTGAACACTGAGCCAAGTTTACTTCAATACTACTTAAGAAAATTAAAATTAACAGCATGACCATAACTCATACAATTACATGTGTATTTCAAAATGACATTAATTAATTTACCTTGACTTTAGTAGACCCAGCTTGCGACTATTATAATAATACTAATGTACTTGTTATTGTCACTGTGCATGTATAGTATGGGATTATCATTGGCATTGATCTTGGATACTGATTAAGTTTGAAAAATTTAAGAGGGGAGGAAGGGAATACCTGGGGCTACTTTTTCTTATTTTGGTGAAAATTAACAATTTAAGAATAATTGATATTATGCAAAACAAATATTCCAGTTCAATCTGTTTTATAAAATCAACACAAGAAGGTGATTTTTAATTTTTAATCTCAAAATATTGACAAATTAGCTGTGACGTACAGATATTTAACTAATGCGGACAGCCACCAGAAACATTCTTATTTTTGGGGGTGGGGGTGGGGGTGGGGGGCTTATCACTGCAATATTTTTAGTGTGAATGGGAGTTCAATGTGAGTGGATTTGCTGATCATTGACAACATTGAAATCCCTTGTGGTCTGTCTAATACGTAGACTTCTTCCGGAAGTTGATTGCCTGACATGCAATCATGAATGGTTTAAATTATATGCCTTGATTTGTAATTATGCTGCCATACTGTTCTCAGAAACTTAATTATATCCAGGTTTCCTAAAACCTATGTTCTACTGGTTTATGATATAGTTTAGGATGCATGTGCGTCATGTAGGGATACGTTTCCCTGAAATTATTGGATGGAGGAAGACAGTTTGCAACATATGTTTCTCTTTAGTTTTCATCAGTATGAAATTTCTTGGAAAAATGTAACATTTTGAATAATAGTTATCGTATTTGCTCTATTAGAAGTGCATGTTGAATAGAAGCATACATACTGGTAAACTAATCAGTGCTTTACTTGTCCACTCTTATCATTAACCTTTGACACATGGCTGTCAGTTACATTAGTGCATGTACCACTAGAAGAACAAGTTGATTTTTTAGTCCCCATTTGGAGGCAATCAGAAAACAGGGACTTGTAGATTGACCACTGTGCGTCCGGACATATATCTTAGACATGCCTGCACCAGTATATAGATATATTCGACCATATTAAAAAATGCTATGTAGTGGGCATTTTTGGGCTAAAAAATCATCAAAAATCAAGCATTTCTGGCATTCCAGAACCGGATTTTGGTTGTTTACGGATGGATTTCGTTCAAACTTGTACATACATTAGACATTATGCGACCTTGTTGCACGTCATTTTGTTTTTTCAGATCAGCTTCAAAATGGCCGACTGGCGCCATTTTGTTTTAATGAATGAGGTTGTAGAGCCATACCTCTGACATGCTTTGACTGATTATGTTCAAACTTTATATAAATTATTCATTATTCAAAAATTACATCATGTCATAGATATACAGCTGTATTGGTTTGACGATCTGATCTGATTTAATTAATGATGTTCCAGAGCAATATCTCTCAATATGGACAAGTACTCATACTATATTACTACAAACCATGTATATACCTAACTATATAACTTTGAATTGATAACTAACAGAGACTGCCATGCATGGCTTATTTTTAAAATGGAAAAAGCATAAAGCGTATAAAATTCTGACCATATTTACAGTGAATTTAGTAAATATGGTTTATTTCACGTAGTATACCAAGGAATGTTGATCAATGTTACACATGGTATCTATGGTTCATTACAAGTTCACTACAAGGTGATAGTAATTCATTGTATTAATGCATACATAAGGCTGCAGGTATCACAGCTATTAAACATTTCAATTCATATATTTCATCATCATGTGCGACATCAATTATGCTGTATGTATAATGACTCACAGCTTGCTGTCCAGATTAAAGTAATAATGTTTAATGAGGGTTTAATGAATAACAAAATTATAATTGTAATAATCAATAATCAAGATTTAATAATGATAGTTTATTATATGGATTATTATTGATCGCTGTATCATATACTGAGTTCACAAAGATAAAAATTGGACTGAGTCAATTCAGTTGTCATGCCAACTATAGCTTTCAATAAACCAATTAATATATGCTAAAGGAGTGTTCATACATTTGGGGTCTGGCAGAACAATCCAGTTGATATTCATTGAAACCATGGTGATAGAAAGAATGTTAAAGTTTATTTTATATTATATTAAGCACTTTACAGCTGTAATATATTGTTTATATTCCTCGTATTGACTTAAATTTAACTAGAACTCTTGAAAGGTGTCTAGCAATCATGCCTAGTGCTCAGCTAGATCATCAGGTTTTAAAGTTACTGGGAAAAGTTATTTGCAGGCCATTCCATCTCTGATACGAGTTGGATAATAAAATTGAATTCTAAGTAAATTTTTACAGGAAGTTAATCATTGCATGAAGGAAATCTGAAAATGTAATTTTTTGGTGATTATCGTTTCAGATATTCAGCTCAAATTTGTTATGTCCAGCTATGAGAAAATAACATGGGAGATTTCTAGGAATTATACTTTTAATCTTTGATTTTAGAGAGATTTAATATACTGTGAAATGTTTGCTATTTTCGTGGAAGGTCATTTTGCACAAAATTATATTTCACACAAACATAAAATTAAATATTCATGAATATTAATGTGCTTCACAATTAGTGTAATGGACGGTACAATTA